CTCGGAATCAATTCAGTGGTAGTGAGTTTGGATTATTTGGGTTTAGTGTTGCTTTCTAAAGATGAAGTGGAGCTATTTGGATCATTTATGAGTCTCTATTACAGAACCCTAGATAGGTAAGTATCCAAGAACTGAGTCATATCTACCATCAGCCATTTGAACCACATGGGGACAGATTCTTCAACTTTCTCCAAAACATTCTCATGTTGGAACTTGTGTTTGGCTCAGCCCAACTGCCCCTCCGTGGCATGAAGCCTTTTACTCACTAGGTCATTTTAAGGGTGCTATAGGTCCCTGGGGTGTGTAAACGATTTATACTGATCTAGTAACCTAAAAGTTGCCAGAGGGAACCCGCCCAGTGGCACCATAGGAGGAAGACCTGGTGAGATCTTCTTCCATAAAGATTACAGCCAAGAAGAGCCTCTAGAACACAGTTCTCCTCTTATCACACATGGGGTCACCCTGAGTTAGAATCCACTTGACAGCAACGGGTTTGTTTGTAGGGTTATTGAAATAGGCCTCCGTTGCTCCACCTATAAAATGGGAACAATCATTTTGCCATTTCCATAGACTGTAGTCATTAATTTATAAACATTATACAAAGTATTTCATAGGTGCTATGACTATCATCAAGGAGCCCTGGTGGCACTGTGGGCTAAGCAATGGGCTGCTGAGAGCAGGTGGACAGTTCAAACCCACCCATTGTTCCAGGGGAGAAAGATGAGGCTGTCTATGCTTCGAAAGATTGTAGACTCGGACACCCTACATAGAGTTCCTATGAGTCAGAGTTAACTTAATAGCAGTGGGTTTGGGGCATTCTTTTTGAGTGTTCTATTACTTTGATATTATTATTCGGATTCGTCATGGGGCTGCTGAGCACAAGGTCAGCCAGTAAACTGACCGGCTGCTCCACAGGAGAAAGATGAGGTGGTCTGCTCCTGTAAAGATTTACATTCTCAGGTTTTTACTATATCATTGTTGTTAACACAAAAAAGAAGCAAACGGTGGAGAAACAGTATATGCGGAGCCTTAGAAGAACTCTCACGTTAAAGGTTAGTTTGGGCCTCTTGTCTGAACATACGGTAATAATGAAAATGGTGTGATTATAATTGACGGTCCTTTTTCTTTGGACATTTTCCCTCTTAAGTGATTTCCTATGTGTGAGTGCACGCGCACTAAATACAAAGGGAAGTAGTCTAGTATTGACAGCAGAGTCGATTTGATGAGCCCTAATTGAATGTGTATTGAGTGTCTAATCGAGAATTCTCACTTAGTGGTAGCATCATGGATTGTATGCCGATTCACATGACAGATTCAGACGATATTAAGGGTCAGGACCATTATTTTATGTTGTTATATTTGTTTTGTTTTGTGTTGTTTTTCCCTTGGCCTTCCTGAAAAGTAGATCTCTTATCTAGCTTTGGAATAAGCTTGGGCAGATTTCAGTTGTCCATTTTGTAGATGATCTGAAACATAGTTTCAATCTCTGGTTTCCTTTTCCCCTTATGAATATATCTTAGGACCAGAGTTCAGACTATCCACCCATTTTCCTATGTTTCTGAGTGAATTTCTTTAGGAGAGTCTATCAGAGCATTCTAAAACTCAGTCCAGATAGAGGTTGATGTCCGGATCTGTCCATGGCCATCTGGATGCCCAAGAGTTGCCTGTGTGCACACTTGTGCCTTGACTTATAGCCATAAGAATCAGAGGCCTGAACTGAACCCTTTCAGAAGCCAGGGAAGGGAGTCTTGAGTTTCCTGTCCTGTGCCTTTTATTATCCTATCTCTTATCCCTCCATAGAACCCACAGACTCCTCCTGCCATGTGGGTGACCTCAGCCAACACCCCTCTTTGTCTGCTTTGTCACTATGCCAGTCAGAAGCAAGAGTGACACCTGTTCTACCCACCACTCTATCAGAAATTCAAAGCAGCTTGCACTTCAGAGCAGCTCTCTTGTGGAGAGTTAAGAAAGCTTCTCTCTCAAACTTCAGGAAAGATCTCATTTTCTAAGCCTCTCTTTTCTGGTCTGCTGGTACCGGGGCTAACATGGTGTCTACTCTCTGTAGTATACGGTCCCAGGGGTCAAAGCAATAGATCGACATAGTTGGCAGATCACTAAATAGTTTACAACTCCCCACCAAGCAGGAGATGGCGATTCCGGAGAATGGATGGAAAACATCCCCTTGCTATAATTGGGTTCAGCTCCGTGGCTTAACACCATCTTATTTGGCAATCTTTTTCTCTTGACATATTTAGTAATCACTCTAAGGGAGATTTATTACACTGTTCATGGGAACAAACAATGCACTAAATATTATACATATGCATGCTTTCAATACCACTCCCTTTCTAGCCTCTTCTAAATCTTTCCCCAAAGTCTCATAGCTTTTATCAAAAATCTCCTTTGTCTTTAAATGTCTCTGGGTTCCTCTCATCTCTGAAATAACCTTTGACGTTTGGGTTTGGTTTTGTTTTTTCTCGTCATTTTTCATTTAGACGTCCTTTTGGTCAAACTTGACTGGGCCATGCTTACAGAAGAACGGACAGAAAGATACTTTCATAGCTTAAAGCTTTTGAAGACATTTTTCTCACCATTAATCCCAAAACATCGAAACAAAATTGTAGCATATGGTTAGATATCTGTGAAAAGAGCTTTCTAGTTCTCTCTGGGAGACCAAGTAGGTTCATCCATTCATATATATATATATATATATGAATATATCTCTATCTACCTCCCTACCGAGCTGAAAGAAAGAATGCTGACTGTTTCTGCCAAATGCAGTACAACGTGTTTCCTGAGCCACGAGGAGCTGTGCGGTGGAGGGCAGGCAGAGGGAGTACTGAAATTTAGGATGAACAATTCATGCTTTGTGCTAACTAAAGGGCTTTGACAGCTGCTACCCCTCAGACAGTTTCAAAAAGCATAATAAATGTCCCACTCACCCTGGCACACGCACAGTGACATCGCTTAACAAAAAACCCATCCAGGACAGCTTTAAGAGAAAATAGATCAGGGCCCTCGAGATGCTCCGCCTGTTAGAAGCGCATAGCCACAGTGGGGCAACTCTGTGGGTCTTATGCTTTATTTCTTTTATATATGAACTGTGCTTTGCTCACGAGAGACGCCGCAATAGGTATGGTTTTGGGGAGAGACCATCCAGTGTTATCAGGTATTGTCCAGTTGGTTCCCACTCATCAGGGCCCTATGAAAGCAGCAGGAAGCACTGGCTGCTCCTACACCAGCCTCACAATCATTGGTGTGTTCGAGCCTCCACTCAGGACTCAAACCCAAACCAAATCCACTGCCATCAAGTCCCCTGGGACTCACAGCAAGCCTATCAGAGTCGAATTGCTCCCGTGGGTTTCCGTGACTGAATCTTTACAAGAGTAGAAAGCCTCCTTTTTCTCCTGTGTGTTTGACATCCTGGTCATGTGGTTGGCCGGCCAACACGTAACACACTCTGCCATCAGGATTCCCCACACTCAGTGCTAGGCCCTCGTTTCTTTCATATACGTCCACGTCTGAAAGGTGGGCATGGCTGAACACATGTGACAGGGAGAAGGCAGAGCCACGGTGAGGATAAGTGGCTGGAAGTCAAAACCAATAAAGCAAACCCCAAACTAGGAGGCCCGTGTAGCTACAACAGAAACCATAGCGTCATGCTATTTTTAAAGCTAGCTCAACTAGCCTAATTTAACTACATGTCCTCCCTGAGCTTTCTCATCTGTACAATGAACTGATGAGAGGATTTAAGGTGTAAAGCGCTAACACACAGATAATAGCTCACACGAGTTCCTTTATTCCCACACACCTCCCCAACTGCCTTTTTGTCTCACTTTAGGACTATAGGAAATCCCATGTACTCTTCTATATCTGAACTTGAGCACTTGTCATTTTTAGGGCAGAAAGAAGAACAAATTCAGGAATGATTGACTGTCAAGGGCATTCATTCAGCTAGCTGGCATTGTGCGGACCCAGAAGCATACAGTGAGGGGCATACAGAGCAGAGGATCTGAAGCCAGACTCCCTGGGGTTCCCCCGGCCCTGCCTCTTACTATGTATATGACCTTGGGCAAGTGACTTGACTTCTCTCCCTGGGTTCTTCCTCGGTAAAATGAAGTTGCTACTTAATAGCAACTGTGTGGACTTGTGGGAAGGATTAAAGAGTTCATCTGCATAGAAGGCTTAAAACCAAACCCCGCATGTAACAGGGCTGTTAAATAAATTCGGACCCTCTCGCTGCATGTCGATAGCAGGCACAGGGGACTTGGACCAGTAGGTATGACTCAGGGTGAGGTCTTAGAGAATGAATCCCATTGGGCTCCTTTAGCAAGGAGTCCCATGGATCCCAGCCAGGTGCTTCTGCTTCCAGCTCCCTGACCATATGTGCAGACAAGGAAAGCGAGAGAATATTTGGGTTCTCAAGGTCAGCCTTACGTCTTCTTTGGGGTACAGCGAGTGGGTTAGGTGAGATGATTTCACTGTCCTGCAAAACACCAGCAAGTGCCTACCTAGCCTGCCGAGGGCCTCTGCACTCTGAGGTGCTTCTTAGTTCGCCTTTCAAACTATGTTCTCAGGAGGGAGACAAACAGAAGGCCTGTCTAAGATCTGTAGACTGTGTAAACCAATCAGGTCACAGGTGCCTATGGAAACAATGATGGGTTGGTTTTTGTGTATTTGTTTGTTAACGGACCCCTTCTCAAACTTTACTGGCATCAGAAGTACCCAGAGGACTTGGTCCAGCCCAGAGGCCGAGGCCCCATCCACAGAGATTTTTCCCCCCAGATCGTAGGTGGGACCCTAGAACTTTCTTAGCTGCGCTGATGCTGGAACATTTCATTTGAACTCTTTAGGTTAGGGATGAAATGTGTGTCCCTCCTCCCACCCCACCCCTTCTTGAAAACAGAACTGAGTTAACAGAGCTGAGTCAACAGTCAACAATGTCACTTATGAATGACTTCTTTTGGTAATCAAAACTGATTGTAATTTTTTCCCCATAGTTGCATGCTGCTGTGACCAGGATCCAGGTTCCAAGGCCTGGTTTTAATTACACGTTCGCCCACATATGTGTCCTGAATAACGATAAGACTTGCATCGTGGATGACATAGTGCATGTCCTGGAGGAGCTAAAGAATGCCCGGGCCACCAACCGGACCAATTTTGCTATCACGTATCCAATCACTCACTTAAAGGATGGGAGGGCAGTGTACAATGGGCACCAGCTTGGGGGTGTCACCGTGCACAGTAAAGACCGGGTGAAATCCGCAGAGGCTGTCCAGCTCACCTACTACCTGCAGTCCATCAACTCTCTCAACGACATGGTGGCCGAGAGGTGGGAGTCCAGCTTCTGCGACACTGTCCGACTGTTCCAGAAATCCAACAGCAAAGTCAAAATGTACCCTTACACGTCCACCTCACTGAGGGAAGATTTCCAGAAGACCAGCCGCGTGTCGGAACGGTACCTGGTCACCAGCCTGATCCTGGTGGTCACCATGGCCATCCTCTGCTGCTCGATGCAGGACTGTGTCCGCAGCAAGCCCTGGCTCGGCCTGCTTGGATTGGTGACCATAAGCCTGGCCACTCTCACCGCAGCCGGGATCATCAATCTCACAGGTGGGAAATACAATTCCACCTTCCTGGGAGTTCCTTTCGTCATGCTAGGTAATTACTGCACTTCGTTTTTTTGCTCCCCCCCCCCTCCCCCGTGGTGGTGCCTGGGTTCCTGAGAGGCAAGCGCTGGCCATCTAACAACTTTGTTTCATTTGTAGTGTCTTCATTTTGCCCAGACGCCCTGGAAGCAATTCCATAAAGTGCTGGTCGTCCGCAAGGAGCAACCTAATCTGGTAAAATGTACCAGAAGTTCAAAGCCTGGTTCCCCGCTAAGTAGGTGTATGTACTTAGCAGCTGTTCATCGTTTCCGAAGTATCCCTGGTGGTGCAACGGTTAAGTGCTTGGCTACTCACTGAAAGGTTGAAGGTTCGACCCCACCCCAGCCACTCCACAGGAAAAGAGCTGGCAATCTGGTCCCATAAGAGATGGCAGCCTAGAAAATGCCCTGAGGCAGCTCTGCTCGGTCACATGGGGTCACTTAGGCTGGGAGGCAAAGATCAAGCCTAGGTCCCCGAACAACCATCTGTTCCCAGTCCTTACGGTTGAGCTTCCCCAGAAGCAGGCCCTGACGCCAGGGGTGGGAGCACTGGTGGCATAGTGGTTGCTCCTTGGGTTGCCAATGCAAGGTCAGCAGTTTGAAACCACTACCCCGTTCCAGGGGAGAAAGATGAGGCTGTCTATTCGCATGAAGAGTTAGTCGCAGAAACCCACAGAGGCTGTTCTATCCCGTCCTGGAGGGCTGCTGGGAATTGGAATGGACTCCATGGCAGTGTGCTCAGTTTGAGTGCACTTGAGAGGTAACCCTAGGGAGCCCAAGTGTGGGAACGAGGGAGTGGGGCAGGAGAGCCAGGCCATCCAGGTGGTTCATGAGCAGAGGACAGCTGGGTGTACCAATGACTCAACGCCACTGGGGGCCTTTGGAAGACCATGGGGAGCCCACCTCAGTGCAGCATCGGCCCCTGAAGTGAGGACACTGAGGTATTGACCCCCAAACCCTGTGCATGACATTGAGGGCTACTCCCCAAGGATGTAGGCTGTCTTCCACCTGCCCAGGGAAGACGGAGCACCCTCCTCACGCCAACTATTTGGCATCCGAAGCCTCCGCAGCGGTGAGTTGCGAGGGCAACAGGGCCTGAGCCCAGAGCGTGTCCACTTCCTTCAAGTTCTCTATGTTCATGAAAGGGCGGAAGTGAACATCACACCAAAGGAGAGGCATGGAAAGGATTGTGAGAGCTGCCAGTGAGACAGAAAAAGGGAAGGTTACCCCCACAAACCCCCACCCCTGCCCCTTGCGATGAACTCAGGCGATTGAAGGGGAAGGTGTGTTGAGAAGAGTCTTCAGTCTCGTGATGGAGGTCAAGGTGCCCATGGGAGGGTTTCCGCAGGCCAAGGGACCAGAGCAGTTGGTTCCTCCCCCTTTTCCATGGCAACCTCTCAACAGGTCCGTTAGCAAAATGAAAATGCCATTTGGAATCAGATCCGAAAATGAAAACTGGAGTCGCATTTTGAGTTGACGGAGAACTAACTAGGGTTGAGTTCATGAGTATGCCTCATGCCCTGTTATCGGAGGAGGAGAAAGGACAATCATTGGCCCCGGAAGCCTCACCAGCCTTACGGTGAAATGATGAGCAGCCCTGGTGGGCCTGCAAAGCGGCCAAGTGACCGTTTCCCCTAGGTACGCAACCGCTGGCCAGGATCAAAATCTCTTTGATAAACCTACACCAGTAGTTCGGTAAGAGCCCCAGTGGTGTCGTGGTGATGTGCTGGGCTGCTAACCCCAAGGTCTACGGTTCAAAACCCCCAGCTGGTCTGAGGGAGAGAGACAAGGCTTTTTACTCCTGTAAAGAATTACCGTCTCAGAAACCCACTGGGGCAGTTCTGCCCTGTCTGATAGGGTCACTGTGACCCAGAATCGACTCCAGGGATGTGAGTTTGGTTTGAGGGTCATCTTGTGAAATGTGGGGGTGGGGGGGCGGGATTGGGGGGAGACTATGCATCCTGAGAATTGACCAGCTCAGTTGAATCAGCAATGCTGCCACACTTATTCCTGTCATCAGTCTGTTAAGAAGGCAACACATCTTGCCTCTATAATAACCCAAGACAAGGCGTACCCACTGAGGACAGCAGCAGCTCCCGAAGAGCACGCTGATTGCGTCTCAGTGGCTTCCCAGGCTGGAGTCCAGGTGTTGATAGTGATGTTTTCCTCCCTCATTGTCCCATCATTGCTTTAGGGTAGAGATCCACATATGAGGAGGCGTCAAAGAGTTCATGGGAGCATCCCATTGTCGTTTTGTGGGTTTTTTTTTATCATTTTCCCCCAGTCTTATTAGACAATCTCCAATTTTTTAATTTTTTTACTGGGAGTTGGGACGTTGACAATATCCCATTCAACAATTCTTACCACATTTTTTTTTCATGTCCCTGATTGCAATCCCCACAATGTACCGTCATTTATCCCACTTCCTCGCTGCATTTCCAGTTTCCATTCCTCCTGTCCTAACCCTTCTGGACTTTGTCCTTGGGGAAACGCTGCCCTTTGGATCTCCAGTGGATGATTATTCACAGGTGTGCATACCTCCCTAGGGTTATTGGGCCTCTTAGAAACGTGTCTACTGTTGGACTGACCATTGAGCCAGGTGGGGGGTGGGCGAGTTCATTTCTAGTCCTGAAGGTTGCCTAAGGGCCATCGTCTTGTGGGTTCCACCAGGCTCAGTCTAACCAGTAAGCCTGATCCCTTTTAATGATTTTTTTACTTTTGTTCCAAGTTTTTCCCCCACTCTACCTAGAACATTGTATAATGTGACCCATTGCTAAGTGATTGGAAGTGGTAGCTGGGTACCAACTAGTTCTATCTTTGAATCCCATTTTTCCATCAACTTTTCAAAGCCCCCCTCATATGTGCATATATATGTGTAGATGATAGCTTTCCAAGTTTTAAATGCAGTGTTTTCTTTGGGTGGGGGGGACCCGTGGGTGAAAGCACTAAGAAAGGAGTGGGGGACTGAAGGGAGACAATAGTTTCCTACGGTGAAAGGAAAAAAGGCTGTGGGAGCTGGCCAAAGAATGATCAGTGCTCAAAGGAGATGATGATAATATTTTTTAAAAACATCCTGAAAATTGGTTTGGTGACGTCAAATGAAATGAAAGCACCTTGTTAGGGAAGCATTGGACTTCCAACTGCAAACATTAGTTCAAACCCCCCAGCCACTCTGCTGGAGAAAGATGAGGCTTGCTGCTCCTGCCAGGATTCATAGCCTCAGACACCCTGTCTAGGGTTGCTATGGGTTGGGGTTGGTTTGATGGCAGTGGGTTGTTTAGGTTTGGGGTAGTATGATGCTGATGCATTTGTCTGCTAACCAAACTGTTGATAGTTCACACCCACCCAGTGGCTCTGAAAGAAGGAGTCAAGCCCTGGCAATCTGCTCCGGTAAAGATTGTTGTTATTGGCAAGTCAGTTCCAACTCCTGAGGACCTGATAGGACAGATACACAACAGCAAAACCGAGGAAAGGGGCAATATTTCAAGCTTCTTCTGGTGGACTTTTAAATGAACGAAAATAGCAGTATTCCACATTTCCTACAAACGAGGTCCATTCAGCAGATGAAATGACAGTATCGAACGCCTCTCAAAATGAAGTGAAATAGAATTGACAGGGTTTGCAATTTCTTAAGATTAATGCCATTGAAATCAAATGGCAATCTATAAAACTTGCTCACATTAATTTTATCAAGTGAAAGAGAACTATAAGATAGAAACCAATAGAAACTTTCTAAGCACAGAAATAAGTGTTCAGAGGTAGTGAATGCCATTTTAAATGTGAAAATCACGCCTCAACCTATGGCAGGTCAGAGACAATGCAAGAGTTAGTGGGATGAAGAGACAGTGTCCCCTGGAAAGTGTCAAAATAAATAAGCAGCCAGAACTACTAGGTCCCCAGCTTCACAGAGAACGAGCATCACTGAACTTTCCATCAGAGGGCAGGTCAGAAAACTCTGGCATTTGCGGTGGAAGAGAGCAAGCATGGCAGGTGCCCAAGACTCCCTCGCTTACAATTTGTAAGGAATGTTACATGCATCGGTTTGATGGCAATTTTCCCTGCTGACAATCCGTGTGCAACCTCTCTGTACATTTTCAGCCCAAAGAGAACCCGAATGACTTAGTCACAACATGAAAGGAAGCTAGGCATCTTAGTCGCCAAGGGCCATTTGCAATCAATACTTTGCATGATGTGATGGGTATAGAATATGCTCATCCACCTAACGGTGCCTGGATTTAGGGCGGCTGCCCTTTTGTGTTTCTCAGATAAATGGCTCATTCTGCAGAGTTGGATTCAAAGTGGAAATATCAGCAAGAGCGGGTTCATCAATGTTGCATCTAGGGCCAGTGTTGAGTTCTAGAGTTTTGAGGACCAGTCTTAAAATGCCAATCGATTTCAAATGATCAGGAAGAAATGCAGTGCAGAGGGTTTTGCACTACAAAGCAAATAAACCCCTTGCCCTGTTTTTGTTGTTGTTGTTGTTTTCTTTTTTTAATGTGCCGGTCTATAACATAAAATGACTATAGGTGAGCTAAGCAGAATTAAGCAAAACGTCTGGATTTACTATGTTATGCAAAGAAAATAATTAAGTAAAAAATTTAAATATATACAGCTTCATGTAAAAGGAAACGTATCTTAGCAAAGTCTTGAAGTGCCGACGTTTCCTTGGCTAAAAAGAGGTCTCTGATGCAATATACTTTATTGATGTAAAATTCAACCAATGAAACACTCCGTGGGATGCCGGTCACATAAGGCCAGATCCAGTCGAATGCCAGAAGAGCAGGAGATTTAGAATGGAAAATTTTAGGACCATGTATGTCAAGCGATATTAACCTGACAAAACTCCAGAATAGGAAAGAATTTGGCTAAATGCTTAGAGTTCACCATAATGGGTTGTGACTGTGTTTCTAGCCAAGATCCTACATGACATCTCTGGCAGTAAGAATATATTCGGCACAGATTATTCATCTTGGCGATGGTGTAAGCATAGATACATCCCGATTTAAAAACGTTT